AAAGCAGCGACTGTATTCGCCATGACATATACAGTCTATGGTTTGTACTTGTTTAACTTTTGTCCAGTTTCTGAACAGATAGGAGGAGCTGTGAGCTCTGAGTGTGTGCTAACAGCTAACGGTTGATGTGTTGGGACATGTTGCGCTCGGGTGCTGACCAATCACGAAGCGTCATTTCTTGACTGGCAGCAAAAACAACCAATCACAGCAGTGCTTCTCTGGCTGGCTCTGTCCAATCACAAACAAGAAGTGTTCTCCCTAAAGGAATAACCTTTCCGTCCAATGTGAAATGCTGTGGTGTTTTCTGAAATGCTGTTGTGTTTTGTGAAATGCTGTTGTGTTTTGTGAAATGCTGTTGTGTTTTGTGAAATGCTGCGGCGTTTTCTGAAATGCTGTTGTGTTTTCTGAAATGCTGTTGTGTTTTGTGAAATGCTGTTGTGTTTTGTGAAATGCTGTTGTGTTTTCTGAAATGCTGTTGTGTTTTGTGAAATGCTGCGGCGTTTTCTGAAATGCTGTTGTGTTTTCTGAAATGCTGTTGTGTTTTGTGAAATGCTGTTGTGTTTTCTGAAATGCTGTTGTGTTTTGTGAAATGCTGCGGCGTTTTGTGAAATGCTGTTGTGTTTTGTGAAATGCTGTGGCGTTTTGTGAAATGCTGTGGTGTTTTCTGAAATGCTGTTGTGTTTTGTGAAATGGTGTAGCGTTTTCTGAAATGCTGTTGTGTTTTCTGAAATGCTGTAGCGTTTTCTGAAATGCTGCGGTGTTTTGTGAAATGCTGTGGTGTCTTGCACTTCCGGGCCACCGTAATAACCTCCTTTAGCTTAGGAACCACTGGACCTCCCTAACCGAAAGGAGAGGAGAAAATGCTGCCCCACAATGCCTTGCGGCCGCGGCATTTGCCGTCACACAACAGTCGGCCGTTCACGGAAACAACCGATTATGAACGAGAAATGATATCATGAAAGTTACGGTGCTTATTAAGCATTTTAAAACGTATGTGGTAAGTTGCCAAAGTGCTTTGTTTTGAACGTTCATCAGTATTATAATCAAAAACAGAAATATGAACGTTAGTTTTTACTGAAATGATCAAATAAAGTCAACATTTCACAGTCTTTACTGAGCTGTGTGGGGTTTGTTCAACTTTTAAAAGATGTTTGAATGGTGATATACACAGTGATAGATGTTAATTATTCTATTCGACCGCAACCAGTGCCTCACCAGCCATGAACCTCACCGCACGTCACTGCATATTACTTATTACTGTCTTTTTTAAGTAATAAGTTACATTACAATATTACTGTCTCTGAAATGTAATGAGTTACACTACTTTTATATTACTTTTGAGTTACTTTCACCAAAATAACCGCAAAATAATGGCTAGGTATTTTAAATGCTAAAATGTAGTTTAGTGCAGCAACTGTGTAGGCCCTTAAGGCTACTAACAACTTTTATTACAAGGCTTAGTTGAATACTCGATTCTGATTGGTCAATTTTGTTGCTAAGGAGGACCAAGAAAGAGAAAGTAAAAGAGGGTAAAACACTGGACGTCAGATAAATGAACAGAAGAAGACAGACAAGAAGTAAACACTAACAGGAACACGGTATGGGCTCTGCAGTTTTTAAGGACTTGTTAGTGGATCAGAAACTGGGAACAGAGTTGGACAGTGCTGCCGTAAAGTTGTTGTTGTCGCAGTTCCAGCCGTTGGTGCGCCGTGGACTGGAGTTTTCTTTTTTTCTTAGCGGAAGAAATACGATAATTTTAAGTCAATAAAATCATTTCAATTAATATTGGGAGTCGATTCCTTAGTTTGTTTAGTATCTGGCCATGTAATAAGCGGGATAATGTGCAGCGACTTGGTCATTATGGGGAAAAGAACACCCTTCAGGCTCATCAAGATCAACCTGACTGATTACGTAAACACCTGGGCCCAGGAGTTCAAAACTTTTAATCTCAATCAGATCCGATCAGATTTTGAAATCCCATTTTTTGTGATCCAGGATCAGACAAGTCGGACAGATTTTGTCCCTGTAGTTCAAAGCAATTCAGGATAGGATCACCCTGATCCAGATTACGACTTTTCAAGATGACTACTGTAGATCCTGAATATCAGTGCTTTAATCCTACCGATCGCCATCTAGTGGATATGAAAAAAAAGGAAGACAAGAGACCACATTGCAGAGACATCTATAATGTCTAATTATATTTTTTAAATTGAAAGGTGATGACAGATGATGGACTTTTTTTTTGTTGAAGATATTTTTACTTTAATCTAAATTACATTTGTGATTGACAATCTTTGTTGTGATACTTTTATGAGCATAAACATTTATGTCATCAACATTTGGTTGAAATCAAAATAGGCCACCACAAACGTGAGCAAAAATGGAAAAATAAAATGTATTTCCCATGAAGGCTAAAAATTGTGTATTATTTCAGTTAACTAACTTTGCCATCTTATTTAAATTGAAACATATTTTAAAATAAATTGTACAGTACATTTTGCTCTGGTAATCCACTGGAAATCCACCCCTCTGGTGGGATCAGGATAATCCAGTTTTTTGGGATCAAACTGATCCCAATCCTGTGTTGTTGGTTTGAACTACCCGTTTTGAAGATTTGATCCCGATTAAAGCTTGGGTTGGATTTCCTGATCTGATCGGATATCAAAGTGATCCTAATCCTGTTTTTTGGGTTTGAACTACCCAAAATCCAAATCTGATCTGATCAGATAGGGATTAAAAGTTTTGAACTCCTGGGCCCAGGTTTACTAATCTACCAGCACAATTTTACTCTGGTGTCGGAATGTCTTGCGATGTTAGTGAATTCTTAAAAAACAAAACACCATTTCATTTCGGGTTAAAATGAGTTGTAACTGCATTACTGAGAATTGTAACGGGTAGTATATTACCCAAATTTCATTAGTAATGCGTTACATTACTTCGTTACAGCAAAAAGTAATACATTACTGTAACTCCGTTACTTTTGTAACGCGTTACACCCAACACTGTTGTTCAGGTCTGGTAGATAGGAAAACATGTTCAATTGCCCATTTTGTTTGTGAAGCTGTGATCAAATTAGGGAAAACTTCCTCTAAGGGTTCACAGAAAAGTAAGGTATTTTTGAAACATGTTCTCATGTTTTCTGTCTGCCACCGATTGGGCTCATGCCATGGGTTTCAAGTCATATTAAGAACCATGACGTGTTCCTTTGAAGCAGCATCAAGATATATAGTTTTAAGATGAAAAGCCTTTAAGCTTTTGCAAGGAGGGAGATTGTCCCAGGGTGCAGGAAGGCACTGGTGATATGCAGAACTTTAGTGAGAGCCCTTTACGGACTGATGCAATAGAGCTCTTTCTGAACCCTGCAGTTGAGTAATAAAGTTGCTGTGAGTCACTGATATACCACAGGGGATTCTGGGATAAATCTGGCTTCTCAGTTTGGTGCTCCACTATCATGTCGAAACTGACAAGTGCCTCTTTGTTCGTTGTGATTCATGTGTTCTTGTGAAACATCGTTTTCTGACCTCCATTGATCATCAGGTGACCGTAATGGTTCGCTGGTCATTGGTTTTTAGCTTGCGGAGTAGTTTTTTTTCTATTTTTGTTTCTCCAAGGTTTCTCTGCAGCACAATAAAAAGATGAATGTCATGTCAGTTATTTCCTTTTGATTACCAGTGTTCACCTTGAGGCATTCGACAACTGATTAATGTTGGGACAAAATAAATGAAATACTTTTCCTATTTCCTTACTCTATGGGTAAGACCAAACCGTTACTCATTCTGGCAGTGGCTTATGCTGCCATTTGGAACCCTGTACTTAGAGCATATCAGGCTGGACAAATGTGGTAAAGACACAGAAAACAGTTATTATCAGTTGTCTGTTTTTGACTGTGACCTTCTTCAAAATGGAATAATAAATCAAAGGGCTTTTCTTGAAGCTGCTATGTAATTGCCCCTGCAGGAGTTTTCTTTGCAACTGCAGATATTTTATTTACTTCTTTTTCATTTCTTACAAAAGCTCTTGAATATATCTAATCATAACTTGTTCCTCTTTCAATATGTGTTGTTGGTTATTTCTATTTTAGGCATCAATGACTTGCAACATCAATCATCATGTTGCCGGAATCTAAGCAAATATTACAATCTCAATATTTACTAAATTGAAACTTGAGAAATTTGATACCAAAGATGGACAAATAAATGAAAAGGGAACTATACAGAAGAAGCTGGGAAGCAAATATGAATAGTAGTTTGTAAATGACTTAAAGGTCCCATGTCATGGCCATTTCTACTGATCATAATTCCATTATTGAGGTATACTACAATAGATTTACATTGTTCAATGTTCCAAAATCACATTGGTTTTCTCATACAGCATCTCTGTATAGTATGTGAATGCACTCTCTTTCCTACATGCCTTGTTGGAGCTCCTGCCCCATGTGTAGTGTCTTAGGTCCATAAAAACTCAAGGTGACAAGAAACAGAAACCGTGGGGTCCACTATCCAAGTGGGGGGCTGGTTAAGGTTAGGGTTGGGAAGGTAAGTGGGCAAACCCTGGTACAGTGCAAGGGAAATGGGGATTAGGGTAAGGATACAGACCCTTAGGGTTAGGGTATATGCACAAGAATCTGTTTAGATAACATAGGTAGACAACTTTATGTGGTAAATAAAAAGCAGCATTTTTCAAGTCAATTTGCAGAAGACTCCCCTAGTCTCCTTTTATACACCCAGAAGAGAACAACCTGACCAAAGCTAGTGGACATTTGAGATATAAGAGGCCATTGTGTTGGGATAAATGTGACAGATGGGGTCCACAACACTCTGCTAAGCCAAAAGGTCTCTCAAAATGGAAAAAAGCAATCCATGGATTCAGCTAACCTTGAAAAATCTATCACTTGATGTGGATGTCAATCGATACAGCCAAACTGATCCTCAGCATGCTTAGGGTCATCTCATGCTGCTTGATTGAAGATTTGACACATCTAAAAGGATTTCACTGGAATATAACATGGTAGTTATTTTATTATTGTGAAATACCATTCCACAGACATAGAACGTTGGGTGGAGTCAATGAACAGATATCACACTGTCAATAAACATTTCCAAGATCCAAAGACAGGTATCAAAGTACAATACAATGGAAATAGAACATTCAGTAGACTATCAACATGTTCATACATTTTTTTTTCATCGGTAAAAAGAAAATAAATATTGGTTTGTACAAGTGATTTTATGAGTATGCACAATGCAAAAGTGTCTCAAAGAATAAGGCAACAATCAAATGAATATAATAACTTTATTCCCAATGAAAATGTTCCCTTGGTGATGATATGATAGAAAATGAACGAGACGTGAATTTTGTCAGTCAGTTATATCTATTTCCATAATATTTCCTTTTCACAAAAATAGACATCTATGGTAAAGTAATTATTTTTTTAGGCCCAAATGTAATTCTTCAGGCCTTAACTATATGAGGAATCGGATGAACAATCATGACGGTGAGTTGTTGTGCGCTGCAGCACATCGTAAAGTGCAAAAATGGAAACAAAGGTATCTGTTAACAAATGGGCTTTTTTCTCCCTTTTTTTACGTGTGTTCCCCACAGAGTTGACACTTTTGACAAATTGCCTGGGTGCATCAGATAATCATTATCCTGCCTGGCTCCTGTTGATAGGGTTGTCTAAATGGGTTGCCTCTCAATGAGGTTTTGGCCCTGGTTTGGGATCCAAGTTTGGGAAGCTGCCAATAGAGATCCTAAATAGAGAAATTCAGAAGATGTGAATTATTTAGATTTCAACTGTTTATCGCAGTGTGTTGTTTTTGAGGGCATTTTGAAGGACCTTTTATGCCTTTTTATTTGGTTTCAGTTACTGATTAAAACATTTGAGTGGAAGCTGTGGGACTTATGCAGGATGTCTGGGTTCATCTCAATAATTAAAATGTTAAATTAATTGTTGTTTTCTGAGCTCACTTTCGTTGTGTGGCCTAATTCTGCTGTCACAGATCCCTCCAAAGCTTTGGTTGAAGTTGTTTTTGTATGTACAATACACACTGATGATGAGGGAACTAACCCAGATGCATGCAAAACAATCTAATCTACCCCAATCATATTCATGTGGTGGCCTCACAGATATTTATGTTTTATTGCAACAGTTTACACCATATGGCCCCTGTCAAACCTCAATGCACTATGCAGCTTCTGACACACATATTCCCATTCATCTGTCTGCGTCTCACAGAACAAGAGGGTCTCTGTTGTATTGCAAAAACCTTCATTTGGAAAGTGCTTTCGCAACTTTTCTGACCCTAACAGTTAATAGGTCCACTGGGGGTTACTTTTTTTTGAAGATTCCTGTCTGTATCAAGCATTATAAGATGTATATTTTACATACATTTATTGCTCTTTCGCAACGCATACAGACAGAAAAAAATAAAATAAAAATACATTCCTGTTCAGCTGTACTACCAACCAGATGATTTCCAATGCATATTCTTTAAAATGGTTGCAAGACACATATCTAACTCTACGGTGGTAGTGGTCATCAGGCGCAAGGTCAGCAGTTTAGCAATCCTGGAAATCTTTTTTTTAGAGCATGTACTAAAGCAGCCCTTCTTTTTCATGCATTTGTATGCTTTGCTTTTGTTGTGATTGCTGACACCCGGCACCGCACATAATTGCTCACAGTTGTCGTTAAGTAATTGAGAACAGCTGTTACAGTCATTATGATTAATACATAGAGAATAACTTTTACAAATGTGTCAAGACGGCGACTGTTTAAATCCATGCATTTCATGCATAGATGAAGGTCATTCTCAGAGGCCTGCAAAGCCCCTGTCCCTTCAGACCTCAACACAATTCCTCCCGCGAGCTGGTAACCTTGCTAACCCTGCAGCCTGTGAATAAGTGAAACTATCCACACAACCACATGCACCTCCCTGCAGATATTTGTTTCATACCAAGGCATTCTTTATACACAAATTGTTCTTGAACAATGTTGCACCGTATACAATATCTCCACAACACTGTGAACTCCAGACCTTGCACATAACAACACCTTCCAGCCTCAGGAATACATTTTCTCCAACGGTGCCCACAATATTTCACAGATTTCTTTCTACTGCTTTATAATAAACGGCATGGTACACTGGACAAATACACAACTGGACAGTCAAAACACTTCTCTTTATAGCTGCCACCTTACTGAATGCAACACTGCTCAAATGCACATAGCTAATGGATACTAAATGTTGTATGAGTGATATGTATAGGCAGCCGTCCACTTCACACCACTTTCTCTGTCTATGTGAGGTCCTGTTGTCCTTGAAAGTTTTCAGCATGTTTCTGACAAATCTGTTTTCTGTGACTCCATTTTTTTTCTCGCAGTCATTTGCCAATTTTACAGCTGCGTGATTGTCTGTTGTATCCGTTTTATATTTTTTAGCTTTATGTTTATAGTCATGTGTCCGTGAGGCAGCCTTTAGGTGGTAGTCAAGGCTGAAAATGCCGCTGCTCCTACTTCATGCCACTCCGCAGCACCTGATTGGCTGCGATAAGCATGACGCTGATGATGAAAGCAATGGCAAAGGCGCAAATCAAGCTCTTGCGAACACAAGTTTGCTTGACGGTCGGGCTGGAACCTGGGAACCAAAACAGAGGTGGGAGGGAAAGAAGAAAATAATTACCTGAAGGTCTATTGAATCAGGTGTAATTTAATGCTTGAAAGATATCTCGATAGCAATTTCAGAATGAAAAGAGCGCATCACAAAGCCTTTGAATTAGATGAATACAAATAAAAGGGATGAACACCCAGAGAAAATAAGTTTTCACACCTGTACGCTGTGTAACAGCATCTAGATTGAAATGCTGATTGCCGGTTTGGAACAACAAACAAATGGATTGGCACCTGACTGGCATATTAAAGGATGCTCGAAACACCAGCGCTCAGAGAAAAGGTGTTGTATACTGGCAGAATCGTATGAAGTAAGAGCAAAGGCAGCTATTGGGTTTTGAATCTTGTATTTTTGTCCAAATAGAAGATTTTTCAAGCTTCTTAAATCTGATCTCGCTTTTTATTTATCTTTATTTTCTTCAGCCATCAGGGTATTTAGCATTTCTGACAGTGACTTTTAAATTAAAGGTTCTCTGCGCAGTCTGTGTACGCTCATGGAGCTTCAGCACTGGTGAAGTTTATTTTTAAAAGTCTCCCTTCTGCAGACATTTGTACATTTGCAAAACAACGGACAGAATATGCATATTAACTTTTGCATGATTCCATGGTATAGGAACAGGAAACAAGCAAACTGTCCACCTACAGTAGGAGACTGTAGGTGGACAGTTTTATTATAGTTTACAATACTAACATCCATAACTTAAAAAACGTAAAACAAACAGCAACGCCCTCAGTTGGGACCTTTTGTTAAGAAATATCATTCACATAAACAGCAGAGGTTTTACGTTCTTCCTTACTGTCTATATCCACCTGGCACTCCCCGGGGTTCTCTATGTGGTTCTCCTCAGTCATGATGATATTCTCGATGTCTTTCATAGAAAGGTGATCGCAGAAGGTGTCGTAGAGGAGCCTTTTCAGCTCCTCCACCGTTAACTTCTGCATGTCACACTGGAGAAAGACACACATAACTATACGTTAACTTAGACATAGACGGGTGGACACAATACCACACACACGCACAAACACTTACAGACAATATGTAGGCAAAAACTCATGTAGGAAAGGAAGAGAACACAAACAGCAACAAATAGTGTATGGAAATTACAAAAAAAAACGTATCCCTAACATGTACCGTAGAAGTGTGACACTTTTGTTTAAGTTGCCATCCAATCAAAATTACAAGCTGAATTTAATTTCCTATTCAAATAACACAATTTGCTTCAAAGTATTAAAGGTGGGGTAGGTAATTCACTTCAGAAACACTTTTTGTTATATTCCATGGAATGCATTAAATGCTTTGACAATAAATACATTAAAAAAATTCATCTGTGGAAGCCGTAATACTGTAAAAAGCACGACCAATTATTTTAGCCGGCCCGGCTAAAATAACTGGATGGCCTACCTGCCTGTCAGCCTTCCATCTCGTGCACAAATTTATCTCGTGCCCTCATTGGTCATGTGAGTGTGTGTGTGTTGGAGGAGGGGCTCTGTAAGGAAGTCTGAAGGAAGGGGCAGATTCTTTTTGGCTGCGTAGATTTAAATTCTAGCGCACTCGAGCTGGTTTCTCCATTCTTACCTACCCTACCTTTAAGTACCTGAGTTTAACATTATTCAATTAAAGTAGCTCAAAGTTCATTTTCTGAGTAAAGGAACTCAGTCCACCACTGGCATTATTGAAAATGTGTTGAGATCTGAAACTTAAAACAAAATACTAATCCAGTATCTGTGCAAGTTTGGAAAACTCATCAATGTTTCTGATTTCATGCAAAGCTTGGCAAGCGCTTACCAGTGTGCAGCACATGCTTGATATCACTTCACACTGCTTTATAATGTTATCTTTGCAGCCTTAGCAATAGTTCCCTCTGGTATCTTGACATTCTCAGCAGGTGTCTTTGGTTATGATTCATTTTTTATAAACTGACTGAACCGAATATTCCCACAAATCATCTCTTTCAAACTTGAATTTGGAGCCTCACTTTTGACTGCCACTCTGGCTGTTATCACGTACCTACAGCAAAGGCTGATTATCTAATGAAGCGTGTGTAAATAATTTAATATCAATTTTACATCAAATTGACTTTAATGTTCTTAGTCTTAAGACTGTCGCCACACACAATGAGGCAAAGATATTAACTCAAAGTCTGGATTCTTAAAGGAATCTCTTCCAGATTAAAATCTTCCCATTAATAACAACCCAGTGGACGTGGCAAGTGGCACACTGGCAGAGTCTAAAGGATTCTGCGCTCAGAGGTTTGCTGGAGCCGCTACTCTGCTGTCTATCTTCTTAATAAGCACAAAATGAGTGACTGAATAATGATCACCTTCCAAAATACAGAGTCAAAGTCAGTGCCGTGGAACTTATCTGGCAACCTAGCTGCTGTCAGCTTTGGGCCCAGAAGAGTGACAAACTCCTCAAAGTCCACCTGGCCATCGCCTGTGAAAATAAAAAAAAAACAGTTGGTGTTTATCGCTGCTGGTTTGACTGCCTTCTACAGACCACATCTGTCTGCTGAAAGAGAGCAAAGCTTCTGTGCTTTGCGACCTAAAGGTCTCCTTTCATACTATTTTTAGGCATATATCGTCTCAGATATATAACAATATATAAAAAACATGTCTATGAAGTGTTTTGCTCAAAATACCAAACAGATCATGAATTCTAACCATGCCTCATATCCATCTATTTCAGCCCTGTTAGAGAAGTGCGGTTCTGGGTACGTAGCTTTAAAAAAAGAAAAGAGGGGGGGGGAGCTAATGCCTGCTCATAATTCTACGAGATACTCAGCTAAACGCTGCCGTGATTAAACGCCATATCATGTTCAAAACCACATCAAGGATTATTTCGGAAACAGTATGGAGCTCAAATGCATTTTCTCTTGCGGGTTTACCACAAGGTGAGTACCTTCTTATATCCTGCTTTTTTACACATAGCCTACTCTCTCCAGTACAGGTTAGCTCTGAGTGTTAGCGATGCTTGCTAGCTTAGCTCTGAGTGTTAGCGATGCTTGCTAATGTAAACAAAGACCATATTACTTCCAAAACACGTCACGCATTGTTTCTGATAGCGACGTTTCTGATAGGGCTGTGGGCGTAAAGCCAGCCCACATTTCCGATTATACGTCATATCGGCAGCAAATCTGGATCAGCTCCGTTGTACCCCCGTTTTTAGAGATTTGGGTACGGAGGAAAAGAGAGAGGGTTTTGTTTTCTGACACTTTGTGAGTACATATTTATGTATAAAAGACATACAAAAGTGCATTTTGCATGATAGTAGACCTTTAAGACAGTATGAAATCTAAGCTGTGTGTGTTTGCCTCACCGTCCATGTCCAGTCTCTGAATGATGACTTCCAGCTCCACCTCGTTTGGCATGTAGCCCAGGGAGCGCATCGCCATCCCCAGCTCCTGCTTTGAGATGAACCCATTCCCATCGCGGTCAAACACTTTGAAGGCCTCGCGGATCTCTGCAAAGAAGACACAAACACAGAAACACACACAGACGTGAGCTTAGAGCAGAGCAGGATATGAAAGTGGGAAATGTTCCACGCACCAAAGATACATTTGTTATGCTGCATCAATGCTTGAGTCATAGTTATATGAGGGTTGGCAGCTGAGGAGAACAAATTCCAACAGCAAAATGACAAAAAAAGGATCAAAAATAAATATCCTCTCACAAAGAGCTGTGATCAGAACAAAAAACATCCTAAAGGGCGATCCCATGCTCTTCTTGTAAAATGTAACCTTTTAGGTATTTTTGTATCTGCGGCCAAAAGGTTTAATGCCACAAATGACCACAAAAAATGGTGTAATAAACTTAATATTCTAGGGGTTGCATTTCCTAGTATCTCATCCGTTCTATAATTCCTAAGAAATAATCTACCATAAAGATTAAAACATTATACTACTATATCAATTAACTGACAGCATTATGTTCAGTAAGTCATCAAACTAAATTGTCGACAAATGTGACAAATGTATGTTTTTTATTTTGAAGTCTTCTAATTCTTCATGAAGTGGTACTTTAATACTGATACTAATTTATATTGTTAGGATATAAATCAGGAGACTAAAAGTTTGTAGTTAAAGCTGAGTCCTTGAAAGACTCCTGCTTCTCCCCTCTATTCTTTTCTTTTTACCTTTGAAGGATTTGGAATTCATGTTCCGAGGAATAATGGTGGTAAATGAAAGCTTCCAAGTCCGTTAAATCCTCCGCCGTGAGATTATTCTCTTCCCTTCTTCTCATTCCATGTTTCTCAACCTTGCAGCAGACTACCTGGACTCATACTTAGAACTAAAACGTATCTAGAGCAGCAAATATATCTTCCAATGCTGCACTGCGTTTTGATCACATCTCCTGCGACTCCTCAGACTTAATGGAAGTTCAATACTAAACCACTGGAGTTAACTCGATAATGTATAAGTGGAGTAAGGAGCCTCACGGTACTGGCAGCAGTTAGTTTGAGATAAACAGAAGAGAAACACAAGGGGCCAATTTACCCGTATAAACAGAGATGGCAAAAGTACACACATCATTTACTCAAGTAGAAGTACAGATACTCGCATTTAAAAATACTCTGGTAAAAGTAGAAGTACTGACTAAACTTCTTTACTCAAGTAAAAGTAAAGAAGTATGGGCTTCGTAAAAAGTACCCATAACTACCAACTGTTTTAAAGAGTAACTGACCTCCCTTTATATTAATCGAAATATAATGTCATTGTGAGCTAATGAATGTTTCGATGCTGAACAACGGCAACATGACAACGTTTTCATTGGTCCCTCTTCTTTAGAGAAGACCTGCAGGAAATGATGGATACACGGATCGTGTTAAAATCAATAGGCACGCAATGACTCTAAATAATAATGATCAGGCCACCAAACACAGATTAAAACTAAAGTAACAAGCCTGTTTTGAAAATGTACATTAAGAAGTATAAAGTACAGATATTTGTGTTAAAAATGTAAGAAGTAAAAGTAAAAAGTTGTCAGAAAAATAAGAAGTGGAGTAAAGTACTGATACCAGAAAAATGTACTTAAGTACAGTGACAAAGTATTTGTACTCCACTACTCTGCGTATAAATAACTGCCAATAGAAAGTCAAACCACAGCAACACATTCTCAGTCCCAACTCGGCCTATGTTGACGTTATGTCAGGGTCCCTGTCGTCACTTTCCAACGCAAGGGGGGGCCCTTTAGCGTCGAGTTTCAACTATCAGGGAGTCCCATTGACTTGCATAGAGCTCCCTGAACGTTGGTAATAGACGAGTTGGGATCGCGGAGAAATGCTCTCCGCAGATCCATTCTCACAGCGTTTATCAACCTTCTTTTTACTCAATATCAAGCCACACTTATTGTTTTTACTTCTTTATTTTAATTGAATCATTTCGGGCTTTTGTTGCTGTCAGTTAGGGGGAGAGTAGGGGCTCAGAATACTGTATTGTTTCATCGTTTTTTCCTTCTAATTTTGTATTCTTTTCTAAACCACACACTGTTATTTACTCAACAATAAGACACAATTATCCTTGTGTTTATTGATTTGTTTGATTAATAAACACAAGTTGGAGTCCGTCAGGACCGAGGGTCGGAGCAGCTCATAGTAGTTGCTTTAGAGGATTTTACACACGGAAGTAAGTATTCTCTCCGCTTCGCTTCAAACCCCGTGATTAGTCCTCAAGCTCTGTGATTGGATGTTTGAGTGGCAGTGCGCCGAGGGTTGCGCCGAGGGTTACGCCGAGGGTTACGCCGAGCGTCAAACAGCACTTTGAAATGGGATGGAACCACGGCAGACTGTCCAAAACTGGATTTGAACGCACCCCGTCCCCCCCTCCCCCACCCCGTCCCCAGAACTACACATGCTGGTTATTGTGTGTTTCGCAACATGTTCTATGGCACGTCTCTACTGGGAATTGTAGTTTTAAAAGACGTTTTCGTATTTCCCATAATAAGAAGTTGCCAGTATTAAACTGTGTACACCCCTGGAGGTTTAGGGGATACGAAACACTCACATTTAAAACATATAATTAATAAATGGGTGAAAATTGCTTGTGTCCATAATGGGCAGCATTAATATATACCCACATGACAGCTAAGGTCAGGAGAGCTTTATTTAACAGCTGGTCTTATGTCTGTGACCCCTCCTGTTGTTAATTGATAAGCCTGAAACATGCACTTGTCAAGGTTCAGAGGCACATTTTGCAAATATGGCAGTAGCCATCGATCGTCTTAAGATAAGATAAGATATACTTTATTGATCCCAAGTTGGACATTTTTTCGTTACAGCAGCATGTGTAACAGTTGTAAATATGCAGTGGTGTTTATTTGTAAATCATTTAGTATAATCACACAAATTCTGTGTTTTATATTGAATAATTCTGTGTTCTTTATTTATTGAATGTTCAATACCTGACAAGGTCAGAGATGAAAAGCTTGGGCAGGTTCCTCAACAGTGCATTACAAGACATTTATCAATATGTGTGTACCTCCACCATTAAACTGTCATATTGTGCATATTTCTTATTCTATCTACAAACATCTTATAAGAGTTTAATACATATGTATAATATCAGTTAAAATAAGTGCTTCCACATAGTTAACATTGCAGGAAAGTTGATTGTCAAGTCCCAAAACAAATTATGCAATATATTAGACGTTAAGTACTTTGTCAGGCTTAATATTTATCTGTAGTAACCCCCAAAGCTTTTTTCTTATTCAAAAGAAGACCTTAACCTAAAGTATTCTTTAATGTTTAAATAAAGCCTAATTAGTTTGTCTGTTTTGCACATCCTCCTATTAATATCTTTGGACGTCCTGCACTAAACTGTTTTATTGTAGAGATCACTTACAGTATCTTATTGATATTTTATATTCTATATTTCTATCATTGACCTTCTACTTTCCCCCTATGAAAGTATGTACTCTTAATATTTTTATGTTTTCATCAAATATAACGTATCAACAAAAGAATTCAATAACATGCTTTCACCACTAGGCGGTTAAAGCACTCAGGTTTACAGTGTTAACACAATAAAACATACTGCTGTTTCCAGTTTAGTTTATGATGGATGTATTTTGTTATCCACACATATATTGTTTTTATATTCGTAACACCAAACCGACAGAAAATATGGTCTTAACATGACCCAGTGGTCTAGTTAATAAAAAATATATTATCAAACATAATATTAAAATGAACTCTTATTTTGAAAATACAGCTTCCTGTGTTCGAATGAGCTGCTCCGACCCTCGGTCCTGACGGACTCCAAAAGTCCGACATTATACAATCAAACAAATAAACACAAGGATAATTGTGTCTTATTGTTGAGTAAATAACAGTGTGTGGTTTAGAAAAGAATACAAAATTAGAAGGAAAAAACGATGAAACAATACAGATTTCAGTATTCTGAGCCCCTACTCTCCCCCTAACTGACAGCAACAAAAATCCTACATTATTCAATTAAAATAAAGAAGTAAAAACAATAAGTTTGGCTTGATATTGAGTAAAAAGAAGGTTGATAAACGCTGTGAGAATGGATCTGCGGAGAGCATTTCTCCGCGATCCCAACTCGTCTATTACCAACGTTCAGGGAGCTCTATGCAAGTCAATGGGGACTCCCTGATAGTTGAAACTCGACGCTAAAGGGCCCCCCCTTGCGTTGGAAAGTGACGACAGGGACCCTGACATAACGTCAACATAGGCCGAGTTGGGAGTGAGAATGTGTTGACCACAGCTAAATAAAATCCAATCCAAAGACGTCACAGTACTGGACATGCAGTTTGAACTCTGCCAAAACAAAGTCAAAGATGCCCCCCCCCCCCCCCCGCTAACACAGAGACACAATCACTGCAGGACATCTTTGAGCAGCTAATTCCTCAGTCCAGCCACAGTGCATTTCCCCCTCGTCCTCTGCTTGTTTACTCTTCATGAGGGACTGAATCCCTTCATTAAAATGCAGTAACATCCACCGCCGAGTCACCTACAGTTTTAGACTTGTCACATCTCCGTCTCCATCCATCTCACACGCCTTATTACCACACAGAAGTGCAGAGCCGCAGAGGAATCTTAAAGTGGAGATGATGCATGGAGTAAATCTTTAGAAAATCACATATTATATATCTCTGTAATCTGTTTGAAACAGAGACCATGAAATACATCATGAAATATTCATATAAGAGTCATATTCTGCATTTGTGAAACGTTTCAGGTCAATAAGGTATTTACCAGAGGTCTGATAGACTGTTATGTTTTAGGTCAAGGCAACGATAAGCTTTAAATGATAAAGATGTAGAGTGGGCTTTGAATGACTGATAAAAAACAAACAGAGCTAAATGATGTTGTTACAAATTGCACAATATGTCTTTGTTTGACAATCACTGACAACAATATCCTTCTGGGGAGGCAAGATAATATTTAGAATTTGAATTTAAATGACTTTCCATTCTTTGTTTGAATTAAATTAGCTCTTATTT